CGGCATATTTTGCCTGGCAACTTGCATCCAACCACCAGGGGCAGCACATAAATCGATACATACTCTGGACTTTTGAAGAAATTCAAATTTTCGATTTAACTGAATTAACTTGAAAGCAGCACGTGATCTATAACCTAAACAAGACAATTAGTATTAATAATTATTTCGATAACATGGTTAATATTAATTGTTTAAATATTATAGCATTTACAACTTTTAAGTTAATAATTCTGCCAGTATAAGTAGATCATAAACATTATTTACCTGCTTCTTTGGCTAGCTGGTAGAACTTATCTTTCCTCTGTTTTCCAATTTTCGTTTTCTTTCCCATTTTAATTTAAAAACAATTAATTTTAAATAAACAGATACGTATTAATCACGTGTAATTACCATCAATTCTATACAGCGTGATCTCTACAACCACGTTCGTAATATATAGGTTAGGAACATAATTTTCCCACTTAACTGAAATAAGTCAGTAAGTTGCCAACTTAGCCACGAGAAATACACTATTTTTCTGTAACGAACTTCACGTTCATTGGTAGCATGTAAAATTTTTTGGATAATTCAATTGGCTCTTTGATAGAGATTTTTTTCGAGGTATGTAGTTAGTTCATGTAGGACTATTTGATATGAAAAGGATGTCAGTTTGTTTTTTCTTATAACTTGTCCATAACTTCCGTGTGATTTTAGTACATTCGCTGTCAATGTAGCATAGATGTAACTCCATAGTGAGAGTTATCTTAATTTTAATTGTAATCTTAATAATTGTTTACAAAATACATAATTCTTCTGGTATATAAAGGAAAAAGAAGGGGGGAAAATGTGGAAATGCGTATTTCGTGGAATCCGAGAAACGTTGGAACGACGTGTTTGTCGTACCAACGTTTATTCACAGTCATCGCAGGATAACGCAAAAAATGAAGTCAAAACAAACTTGACATGCCAACAGAAATTTCTTCCACCGGTTTTTATCACTTGTGATAAGGGCTTTTGTGGATCGGCAAAAAGTACCGGTACTAAAGACAAGAGACATGATTGGAATACCAAGCACACTTGGCCAGAGGCTGTCGGCTGGGTAAATATTGTTTCGAAATAAGATTTTGTAATGTTACGCAATACTTCTTAGCAACACTAAAAAGATCATCGCCGCTAATATATGATTTACTATTTTATTAGTCTAGTGTATTGGCGGCTGGATGGATTGTGTGCCAAACACTTTGTCTTCGTAAAAGAGTTTTCGATAGAGACAATGAAAGCTTAAAAAACAAATTACATGATTATTCTGGAATTTCATCCTTACTTACGCATATAGCAAATTTACATCCAAGAAAAATCCTGCCGGTTACCAACTGTATTGGTACTAGCAAGAAAAGCTTTAAAACACGGGATTTAAACTCGCAACAAACTGCAGAGAAACAATTTGGTCCTATCACCATCGAAGAGGTGAGGATGTTATTTTGCAGACATTATACTCTGTAATGTACATTAGTAAAAATTAAAGTAAAAGTTATATTCTGTGTTTCTTCTAAATAAGTTCTTCAAAAGCAGCACATGAAGAACCATAGATAAAAAAATTTATATAAAATTGGTAAATGTAAACCTAATATATATATA